GCAAGGACCTTAGACAGAAAAGGAAGGTGGGAAATGGGCCGGTAGCTGGATAGCTGTGATGTGTCAAGGGAAGGTTTCTTCGAGGTAGGAGTGATAGTAGCTGTTTTGTAGGAACAGTGTCAGATGACAGGGAGAGGTTGATGATGTTGGTGAGTATTGGGGCAAGGAGGCGGAGCTGGGATTTAAGGAGAGGGGTGGGGATGGGGTCCAGGGAGCAGGTGGTGAGCTTCATGGAGGATATGCAAGTGATGACAGAGGAGGGGGTGACAGGTGCAAAGGTGTGGAAGGAGGGTGGGTAGTGGTTGGAGTGTGGTGGGGGTGTGGAAGTTGCGAGGGCAATGGCAGCTGAGTGGATTCCCTCGATTTTGGACTTGAGGAAATCCAGCATTTTCTCACAGTGGAAGTCGGAGGAAAGAATCTGCGAGGCCTGAGGGGGAGGGCGGAGAAACCGATTGATGGTGGAGAACAGGAGCCTGGGGTTGCCCTTCGCCTGGAGTAGAAGGACGATTTGGCCGAGGCGAGAGCGGAGTGGTAGGTTTTGATGTGGTCCAGCCAGATGTGCCGGTGGACCGTTAGGCCGGATTTGAGCCAAGTGTGTTCGGCAGCCCACACCTGGCCCTTGAGTGAGCGGAGGTGGCTGGTGAACCAGGGTGAGGATTGGGAATAGGAGGAAGTTCGGGACATGAGGGGGGGCAAGGAATGTATTGGAGAGGGTGCTGTAGAGGAGAGTAAACGCAGAGGATGGATTGGTGCGGGAGGTGGGCCAGAGGGGGAGGAGTTCAGAGGACTTCAGGGCAGCGGAGAGGGATTGCGGGGAGATCTTCTTCCACGGGTGGTAGTGATAGGTTTGGAGGCAGTGGAGAGAGGGATACAGGAGTTGAGGGAGTGTGAAAGCAGGAATTTACTTTTCCTGGGAAATCAATTAAGTTTATCACTGGCCCAGATTGGGGTAATGGAATTTTCCACCCTCTATTGTGAAGTTCTCATCCCAGTTTCCAATGGTAGAGAGATCATGGCACAATTCCAAAAACAATTCACTATCAATTGGCTCTAAATATGGTACTTTCACTTAAAGAGGCCACAAATATAATTCCTAAGCAAAATAAAATGTGTAACACAAGTACAGTAGGAAATACTCATATTAGGCTCAAGCCACATTATTGTAATTAGAGTTGAGGGAAAGAGTGATAACTTGCACTTATACTGTTCTGTCCTAGGAGTATTATGAATGCTGAAGCTGGATGTAATACTTTTGAAACTCAGCCAACTTCTGTTGTCCACGAAACAAAGATTTTCACTGAAGCCAAGCTTAATATATCTTTGACACCTCTGGATTTAACGCAGATGCCACAATTTGTTAGAGTCCAGTGTATGCATTTAAATGACCTGAAAATGCATTAAATTAAAGGAAGAAAAAAAGGAGAAGAAATGTAATCAGTCCAAGTGTGATCAAACCAATCGTGGAAGTAAATCGAAATACCATCTTAAAACGATTACATTTCCTGCAGATAGTCTTGTAAAGGATAATGTGTTGTTCAGTGGGCAAAGTGAACTACATTTAGACCATTGGGTTTCCTCAATCCTTGGCAAGAATGAGGTCAATCATGTGAATCAATAGGATTTAAGTGGGTCTTGTTCTCCAGCAGCATCCAGTGCAATCACCCTGCAGAATTCAATATGATTGTATAAAGCTTGGGACTTAGTCTTCAACTGATGTTACTTTCTCTCATGTTAACCCACTGGTAAATACTTCATTCTGAAATATATTTTTTTATTAACTCAACATAATTGTGTATTCACAATAATTTGCGTGCAAGCTAACAGTAAATCTTGTATTTGATATTGCGTCCATAATGTCAAAACACTTCAAAGCACTTGACGAGTGAAAGCTGTCGATTTTATTGGATATAAGGTTAATGATGCAGTGATATTCTTTTAGCAAAAATGGGACAGTTTTTTGCACTCAGTAGTTGAGTTTTGTTTGTCTAGTTAGTCAGTTTGTTCATTTTTATGGGCATGTCCACTGGTTTAGAAAACTGGAAGTCTGAATCTGTGAAACGTTCTAGACTAAAAGGGCTTGATCTAACATAAGTACACAAGCCGTAAGAAAACATGGAAAACGTCATTCCATTTCCTTGCTCCTCCACAAACAAGCTAACCTCTTGAAGCCTCTATTGTATTAGGTACTTGCTGAACCGGAAAGATAATCCAGTAAAACAAAATAGAATTCTCATCCATCCACAATATCATGTGGTCTCCTTCCCTGTGTATCCTGGAGCACAGAAATCATTGTTTCCGGTGGAGTATTTACTCATTTCAGCTTGTAGCATTTATATCCTTCCATACTGTTCTCAAGCAGATACTTATCGAGTTTTGTTTAAGGAATTAATTGATGCAATGTCAACTGCTTTTGTTCGGGGATTTGTTTTACATATCCACTCCGTGGGAGGGAAAAAGAAACTCTTCTAATCTCTAATCTCTCAATCTCTCAATCTCCGATTGAGTCTTTTTAATTTGAAATCAATCCCCTAAAGTTCTGGTCTCACAGTCTAACTCCAATAGCCTGCTTACAGCTACAGCATTGTGCCTCCTATTTTAAAGGCCTGGGCCATGTCTCTCCGCAAACGTTTTGTTTTTATTGAATGGAGGTTCAGCTTAACGCAATTCATCTCAACAAGAGACAATAAAGTTCATTTTTATTACAGATTTATATTAAGGATGTTGTTACAATAACAAAAAAAGGAAAAGTTTACCCAGCAAATGTGTCTTCTGATTATATGGTTTAGAGCCTCATTTTTATATTTTTATGTATATATCCTTGTTATATCTTTAGGCCCTGTAATTCAAACTGACCCTACAGCTAATGTGTGTTTCAACTAACTGGTAACACATATCACATGCAACCATTTAACTTTGTATAATTCTGCATAGGTGGTCTCCAATAATTTATAAATGGAACTCTTTGAAGTATAAATTGGAAGGTTAATGATGCAGTGATATTCTTTTAGCAACAATGGGATACAAATGGAATGAAATACCAAGTTTTCTTTTTTAAAAAGTGACATTAGTTTTCATAATGTTGCCTGATTATTACTTATTTATTCTTCTATTTTACCAAAACAAAACCTTTTGACATTGATCATATGTGATCAACTCTTCTGTCATTAATAAACATACTCTGGGGTGGGCATGGGGTGGAGTTGGGGGTGAGCCAAGTGAAGGAAACTCAAATAAACTTTCATTTTACCTTTGCAATAATTCAATTCAAACAGTAAACCAAGCCCAAACAAATCCATGTTTAAAACGGACTGGGCAGAAATCTGTTGTAAAAATAAATATATGTATATTAAATCATACTTCGGACACTCTTTCTTGCATGTGGTCAAGGTTAAAAAAGGTAAACAGTTGAATATTACTTTATCTTCCACATCCCTTAAATTAAGACTTCTTCAAATAACTATCAAATTCCTATAAAAACAATAACTATCAAATTAACTGCAAAATCTGCCTAAGCTGTGGCCCTGGAGAGTCTATTCCACATAGTCACTGTGATATTCACTGCATTGTCATGTTGCCCATGTTAAACTTATGATTAGGGCTCAGTTCCATTAAACACTAAGATCTGTATGTTCTTTGTAATCTTTGTAAAATTAAACATTTCAAAAAAGAGCCTTGCGAACATTCCAAGCTTCCACAGCCTCTCCTCATAACTCATGTTAATGATATTCCAGCTATGAATCTAGTTGTCCTTCACTCCTCTTTCCATCTTCCTCTTACCTTAATCTTGGCCAACTCCTTCCTGCTTTATCAGTTAATTATTAGGAATATCATTTATTAGGGATCGGTTCCCCTATCCTTGCCCCACTAACTTAAATCCTATCTCACTGCTCTATTTACCCTCTTTGAAAGAGCATTAGTACTCTTATATTTTTTGAGTTAACAAACCATTTGGGCATGGGGGGGTGGGTGGGGAGGAGCCAAGTGAAGGAAACTCAAATGAACAGTAAAAAAACATTTGCTTGAACCTGGCTGGCAGTCAAATTTTGGACAGCTGGAAAAATGCAACATATGCTCAGATGTGTGTAGTGACTGGTCTGCTTAGTGGAGAAAAAAATACTGTAAATACATTCATTCAAGCTCAATGCAGAACAGTGGACAGAAATAAGTAGGCTTAATAACCAGTATGTAAAGAAAACTCCCTGAACTGCCTTAACATGTGACAACCTAATTTATGTGAATGTATTTGGCTAAGTCCATATTAGAAAAGTATACAAATACTTTTATATGTATTATATGTGGTTAACAAAACGTTTGCAGTATTAAAAGAGCTTGAATTTGTGGCAGCTGAGACAAAATACTGCCAACTGAAAAAAATGCCAAGCAGCAGCTCTGGGTTAGTGATCAGGAAATAAACTATAGTGAAACTCACATAAGTCTTATCTTTATCAATAGTATTAGCACCTTAGTCATATATTCACCCAAGTCCCATTCAGTTTCTTATAATTTCTTTGCAATGATTGTATTAATCAACTGCTAACTCGTAACTCCGCTCACATACCCTCCATGACTCAAGACTTACCGGCTACATTGAATTACGAGGAATGTTGTCCTGACCTGGCAACGCATATGCACGTACCAGCCGGCTGCATTGAAAAGCGGGAAACATAGTTTTGATCCGTTGACACATGCATAGAAGAACTTCCTTGCCCATGATTCAATGAGATTACAACGCTTGCCGGTAAGTACGCATGTGGCGACGGGTCAAGAGGAACTGAATCACAGGAAAGGTCGACTTGACTCATCACCAAATTATGAATGTGATTATTGATTAAATCAGATTTTATACAACTCATACAGCTTGCCTGCAACTTGGGCTTTGCTTAAATCAAATTAAATGTCATGGTCCGACTTATGTGAGTTTTACTGTGTTTGAATGGCTGGGAAGAAAAGGATTCAGATTAATAATACGGGAAAATGATTCAAATACCAGAAATACTTACTTTGCAGTAATCCAAAGTCGCTATGAATTCATAGGATCCAAGAGACAGCTCTGGTCTCTCATAGTAGTCCACTCTTCTGCCTATGTGGTCCAGATGTTGAAAATAGAATGGAGGGACTGAAGACAAAAAGATTTTAAAAATTCTTAAAAATAAAAGAATGTCAAGAGCAACTATAAACTCATCTATGGATAGAATGCCTTTTGCAACTTTTGAAAGCACAATTGCAAATAATTTTCCACAATTTTCTGGTACTGAAAGTTGTGAGTTGCAAAGTGGGGATTTACTCAGTAGCACTGCACTGAATAATTCATGACCCTGATAAACACATTTTCAATAAACCACATTCATAGCCATACTACCAACCCTTGTCTAAAGCAGTTGTTTTAAAGACCATGCATATTTCTGATTTGACTAAGGCTTTATAAAATTAAAATCTATTTTAATAAATAAAAAATAATTCTTGCATTTGATGTAGCGCTTTATCATATTGTGATGCTTCAAAGTTCTTCACTGAGTTTATCTGTAAAGTGATGTCTGTGTTTGTAGGTTAATGTGATAATGTCCCATAAAACAACCATGAAGTGAGTCACCAATTTTATTTGGGCCATTGTTCATGAGGACACCAAGAGAAACTCTTTTTGAACAGTGCCGTGGGAATCTTTAACATCTACCGCAACAACCATACAGATCTCAGTTTAATGACTCAACTGAAGATTGTCACCTCCATCAATGCTGCACTCCCCCAGTATTATATTAGAATATCTGCCAAGACTGTGCTTTCAAAGTTCTGAGGTGAGCTTGAACCCATCACCTCTGACTCAGGCGAGATTGCTACCAACACCTATTGCTGGAATACATTTTTCAACAGATGGCTCATAAGAAGTAAGCATGGCAAGGAAGAGAAATCATAATAAATAGCTTTCATTAAACAAAACAAAAAGAATACTGAGAAAGGCCAGAATCACTGCCAAAAAGAGCCAGTAGAACAACAGCAGCAGCTTGCATTTATATAGCATGCTTCACACATGGTAGCATCTCAGAGAATGAGGATATTATCACAATAAAGCAACAGCAACAACAAATTACATATCTATAGTGCATTTCACGTCGGGAAGATGTCCCGAGGGGATGAATAACCTCACCCGTTATCTCAATGTAAAGCATGAGAGGATGGGTAAAGGGGGAGAAAATTATCAACATATTTGAGAATTGGCAGATACCCAGGAACAAATGGGATAAAAAGATAAAGCATTAAAATATTTTGACTGTCAAACGTGTTCTTTTTCAGAGTCTAGGTGCTTCTTTATCCCATTACGGACTCTAACCCACATACTTTAGTTCTGAAGGCAGATACATAAATGTTTCCTGACCACCGAGCTTCCAAAAAAACTCCAAAACATTCACCCATTCTCACATTTCTCCAGCGACAGAGCCCTAAGATTCTGAATAACTCTTCTTGATCTTCTCGGAATCCCCTGCAGTACAATAAAGTCAATTTGGAAAGTAGGACTTCCAAAACAGTCTTAACACACACATATAACATCACGTATTTTCCAACAGTAACTCAATGTGAATTGAGGAAAACTGGAGACAAACCAGGATAGTAAGATAAAAGATGAAATGTTAAAATAGGATCAAACAAAATGGAAGTCTAAATAATACATAAAGAATAATCCTGCTGGAAAGATTTCATTTGTGTGTCAGTACACTGACTCAGTGGTAGCAGTTTTGTGTCAGAAGTTGTGGGTTCAAGCTCCATATTGGGGCTTTCAACTCATATAGTTCACAATGCAAGGCTGGGATGTGCGGCATTGTTGTTGGTAATGTCCTTCAGATGAGATGTTCAACTGAGATCCCTTCTGCCTGTTTGGGTGAATGCTAAAGATCCCATGCACAATTAAAAAATTGAGCTTTTCATTAAATGCAATGATTTTTATTTGGATGTTAAAACCCTCCTCTGGTTTTCAATGATGTGCAACAACTAGCATTCATGTAGTGCCCTTGTTAAGAGTGCTTAACAATGGCGGAGCTTGACACCAGTGTAATCTTAAAGTATAAATAATAAAAGCTCTCTTTCTCCCCTTATGAAGACCTTCACTAACTTTTTCCTTCTACTGAGATTCCACAGGTGGCAGTTTCACCCTTTGAACCTCATTCTGATGGGCATTAATACTAATCTTTTTGAGCCTTGATATTTAGTGTAGATTATTTGATTCCAAGACATCAAATAGCCCTGCTATTTGGTCCTGTCCTTAATAGGCATATTGCCCATCTCCATCCCTATCTCTGTCCCTATATTTCGATAGGATTTCTGAATAATAATCCGGAGCAGGAACTCAGTTGTATAGGGAAGTTATAGGTGAGCAAACTTGCACCATATCATTGTCACTGGGCTGCTGCATTGTGCTCTGAGCTACTGTGCTCTGATATGACTTTATAGATGTGAAAATACAGCTTGTTTTATTTGCTGCTAATTTTGTCCACTGCAATCCTTCTTTCCCCACCACCATCACACCTTCTCTACTGAGGATGCTAGCCCACGTGAAGGGTGCTATATAAATGCAAGTTGTTGCTCTCATGAAGTGGTACAATTCTAAGAGTGCTGTTGCCCTCTGGTACCTTACCAAATAGGCATTCTTCATATAGGATCTCAGACAGAGAATCTGGACAGCCTAGTAAACCATGCAAAATTTTCACCAGATTCTCTTCACATTTGCAGAGGAAAGCAATAGTGTGCTCCATTCCCTGCAGATCATTTTTAAATGCGAGTGCCCGTCACTAACTCCGGGCTCAACTAAATCATGGAGGGCTGTGAGCAAAGCCTTGGCAGATTAAATTTCCGTGTGTGTGCACATATTCCCAGTGATGCACAGTGCAAAGTCAGTTGGCAGGAACTGCAGTCGTACAATGCAGAGCTTCAAGCAAGCTAGAGAGTTGGGAAAGTCAACATCTCTTATTGTGATTCAGCTCCTCCTCAGACACTTCCCCTCTCCCACGTTTGCTGCTTGTGCCCAGTCCTGCTTTCTCCTCCTCCTCACGTCCGTCCCCCTCCCCACATACATACACCCACCACCTATCTTGCATTCAAACAGCTTGATTCCCCCCCCCATGGCCCTTGAATCTATCCAGTCCTCAATCTCTGAGGATTTTTTTTATCCGGGGCTTTTCAGAGGTCTTGATTAAATCCTTGTAGCGTTTTTTTCCAGCAGGGGTCACTGGATAATTTCCCTGAGCAAGAATCCTTGTTAATGTTTCTACTCCCTTTTTTAAGTGATAAATTATGATGGATGAACACAGCATTTTAGAGTGGTTTTGTTGTCTTAAATTACATTTCAATGAAGACTAATAAACCTTCCCAACCTGCAGTACCCTATGACTTTATTAACGATATACCAGTAAAAAGGGTTTGAAACAACACTCTATACTTAACCATACAATTTGAAGTGCTGGCCTGGAAAGAAGGTTGAAGCTTGAGGGTTATCACACTTACGTCATAAGGAAATGGTTTACTCTGAGTAAAATCCAACATAAGTAAAAAGTTCCAGTCAAATGCTTCTGGCAAAACAGTCGGAAAATAGCCAAGGACTTTGCATCACTTAATCATAGCTCGCACACACTGCAGACGCTTCTTTGAACAAATATGGTCTGATTTCATCTGAGAGAATGCAGAACTGGCAGTCTGAAATTAATGGGTAATTTAGCTGTGAAATTAGCTTGTTCAAGCACTTCTAGAAAACATTTGCAGGAACTAAAATGTTTTTATGAACATTTTTTGCCCGCTCTCCTCCTCTTAAAGCTTTTTGTTTCTTCTTTCTTTCCTCAGTGGTACGGCTTCATGGATGAAAGTCACCCTTTGGTGCTTCACCCAAGTGACCCGTGGTGTTCAAAGAAAAATGCTCCATCAGCGTTACTACCAGAAAATAGGCCTCCAATGACAACTTGATTAGAATAGAGCTCTTCACATGGGATAATGTCTTGGAGCCCTTTACAATGAAGGGGTCACAATGTAAACAGCTTAGTGGACCTTCTGTATATCATGCCTGAGTTGCAAGACTTCAGCTCTAACCCAAGATCTCAGAGGCAACGACTCATCAGTCACAATGACAATGCAGGGAGTTCATTGCAGAAAATGGAGCTGTCATGTTGAGCCACATTTCATAGTGGTTATACCATTCAGGGTATTTTTCAACCCCTTTTAATGTGAGAGTCTTAACAGTGACTGTCAATATTGGTTTAGAAGTAAAATTCTCACCAATGACCAACTTCCAGGTTGTCAGGTCACAGTAAGTGACAACGGTGTCTTATTACCTTATCATTTCTTCCTGTGCACAGAAACATAGCAACAGGAGTTGGCCATTCAGCCCATTGAGCTTATCCCACCACATTCCAAGATCGTGGCTGATACACAACTCAATTCCATCTCCCAGCCTTGTTGCCTTGCTACCCTCTCTATCAACTATTCTATCTATTTGCCTTTTACATTCTTCAATTGAATTTGCCTCCACTGCCCTCTGGGGAAGTGAATTCTACACCCCCTCCACCTGCTGCGTGAAAAAATATTTCCTTATTTCACTTTTAAATGGTTTAGCGTCAAGTTTAATTTTGGCCTCAATTCTTTCACCAAAGGAAACAGTTGCTCACCAGTCAACCTATCAAATCCCTTTATTGTTTTATACACCTCAATCAGATCACCCCTAAACCTCCTGAACTCAAGAGAATACAATCCAAGTTTTTCCATCTTTTAATCATGATTTTGGCCTTGACACTAGAACCATTCTACTAAATTGACGCTGCACCCTCTCTAAAGCCAATCAGCATGATTTGATGCCATACTCCAAATGGGGTCCGACCAGCATTTTATACAACTGTAAACTGGCTTTTCTTAACTTGTATTCCAGCCCCATTTTGATTATCTTCTGCACCTGGGCACTACAGTTAACGTGCATGCATTGAGCAAGTGACACCAGCAGTGACCTGATAATGCGAAAGTGGGCCATATTTATGCATTGAAAGCCAATGTGTCTGAAGACCTTCCATTTCAACCTTGCTTATGGTCACCTCCCCTTTTCTCCTGGCTCAGCGTAAAAATCCACCATTGTTAAATGCTCCGAGTCACTGCACTCTATGATAAATCCTGTAAAGTGTTTTGGGACATTTGGTGATGTGATAAAGCACAATGCTAAATGCAAGGGTTATTATTATTATTTATAATTTGCCCTGTTGTGGATCCAACTTATATTCAATTTCCAAAAGAAGAAACTTTGCCTCCAAGGAAGATAAGTCCTTTAATCATACTAATTATTTTCACATTACAAGTTATTTGTACATGTGAAATTAAAATGATATTTCACACGCACAGTGTGGTTCATTGATGTTATCAGAGAACTGCATGAATCATTACAATGTAAATATTTAGATGTTCTGAACTGTGAACTCATTTTAAACCAGAAAAATATTTGTGCAGCACAGAAAACAGTTAACATTATCCCCTCTGGTAACTAAAGATTGCCAAGAAAATTAGCAAAAGGCACATAACTTGTTGAGATAGAAAATAACCAAGGTTACTGCTCTTCCACTTTTGAGATAACTCAGAACAGAGTGGAGATTGATCTTGGAGAACCTTTTGGTATATACTTCATTGTTCTTTACCAAATAAATCATTGTTGTTCTGCTAAATAGATTTTAAGAGTTCAGATTTTGTATTCTGGAATTAATATTACAATAATAAAGCTATGCCTAGCAGCTTTATTACAGTAATATTAATCCCTCTTTCAATATCGCTTTATGTGAGCTGCATTGTAATTTAAAAATTGGCTAGTTCGGGGAGACTGGAATTTCTCTGGACTCATCAGAAGTTTCACTTTGCTTGTGTGTACATATCATGGATAGGTAAAGGCATACTTTGAATAGCAAGTTTGATAACTTTTCTTGTTATTGAGGAAGCTGTAAACATGCAGTTGCTTCATAGTGATTCGGGCCCTATGCCTAAAATTGTTTATTGTATTTTGAAAGGGTTTGTGATGGTTAAAAATAATCTCAGCTCAGCTATTTTTATCGTATGGCTGTTTTGTGGGACACCACTGTGCGCAAATTGGCTGCTGTATTCGCCTACAAATACACAGTAACTGGACTTCACAGTAAGATCCTGCAAAGTGCTTTGAGATGACGTGATATCAAATTTGTAAGGATTATTATACTGTTATAAACACAATGAGACAAAGAAGAATGGAATGAATGACTAACCTTCATTTACACAGTTGCAGAATCCACACTGATATCTTCGTCCACCTTCAATAAACTGCATATATGGACAAACGTAAGCTTTACACCGGTTACATCGGAGAGGGCCAGTCTCCCCATGATTCACTATGTAGATTGGGGCCTGTTACCAATGAAAGAATTTTCATAAATTTGTAAGTTTCCATATCATAAAAAAGGTAGTTACATAAAAATAATCAAATCAGTAAAGGTAGATTATGAGTAGAACCTTACTTTGCAATATTTTATCACACATTTCTCATTGTCATATTACGAGCTAAAGGACAGAAACACCCCTTGTCTTAGCCTGTGAGACCATTTTGTCTTAAAATTCAAGATGGCTTCAGAATTATGGAAAATTCTTATTCAGGCTTAAGTTGGAAGCATTTTTTTCACAATTCTTAAAAAGTACCAATTAAGACTGAATTTTCCCAACTCTTTAAAACTCCAACCCAGAGTCTGTCCACCCTAAGACCCATTTTTTCAACCACGTTTTAGGCCACCTCTCCCTTCCTCTGAAAGTGAATCGTAATTCATTGTATTGATGGAAATTTCATAAGCGACACTGATGGTTAGTCTGCCCCTTTCATCTTCCCTCCTTTAAAGCAATCAAAGGATTAATTTTGCTTTTATCTTGAGGTAATGAATTAAAGTTCTTGACTGCTTTTTGTAGCATTGAGTTTAAGCTTCCTGTTTGTTTGAAAATGGGTCTTTTTAATGCAGCATCAAACAATACAGTAATAAGAGCATTTTCAAGAAAGATGTGAGTGTAACCTACCATAATAATGCACTCTCACCAGCTGAAGTAAAACAGGGATAAGGAGCATTCCTCAAATGAAGACACACTCACACAGAGGAACGCACACAGCTGCCCTCACTGTGCTCCAACTACCAACAAAACAGCTAATAGCCAGAACATACTGGTGGATTCTCAACTCTATTATATCAGTAAGTGAAAATAGGAGCTACACGTCTCAACTTTTATTTAAACATGAAGCTAAAATTTTAAAAGTCACTGTGACCAGATATTTACACCGAAGCCTGTGCTCAGCATTTGTGGTGAAAATAATGCAATTGGGGTGATAAGAACACTCCTCGGGTAAGATGCAATGTTGCTGACTCCACACCGCTGGAAAAAAAAGCCTTGTTACACAAACTCTTTTTTTATAGGGAATCCTCTGCGTGTCACATGGAATTGCAAGACCTCAGTTCAGACTTACAATGTTCTCAATCGATGTCTTGCGAGTCACCGTGATGTTTCCTGGAGGAAACAAAGGTTATGTCCAATAGCCCTTTTTTTGATACTGTTTACCTCAGGGGCTCTTTTTCAACTCCAATGTACAGCCCTCACTCCCAACAGCAAAATACCAATTTCTGGGGCAAACAAGTTTCAGCAAAAACACAAATGAAAAACGGAGCACAGAACTGTCAGCAACTCTGATGTCTCAGCAGGACTTCACTGCTTGCTCTGTTGGTGACTGAATGCCTGGAGTTATGGCCAGAAAAATCTTTCAAGGCCAAAATTAGTTCCTCAGTAATCTTTACAACGCATATTACAAAATTCCAAATTAACTAATAAGGCACAGATCCAGCGCAATGTATTACTAACTGATCAATGGTTGGGAACAGAAAGGTTACAATGAGTTCATCAAAACCCATGGATCATGTAATTAACTAATACACTTGGCACAAGGTCAAGGCAGGAGGCAATAATCTATATAGATAAATCTATACTTTGTGCATGGATACCCTGCCAAGGACATATACTGTAACTCTTTTCAGATGGTAACATTATAATGTACCCAAACCTGTCTGTCACTTAAGCTTTCCTGCTACTGTTTGTGAATAGGAACAGACTTTCTTTAAGTGGGGATGCTAAATGGGTAGCCAGCTTCTGCCAGAGCTCTATTTCCTTTGCTCAGCATGACAGGCCTGCTTCACATCCCCCTTCTGTGTTCGGGATTTCAGTTTATCTGCTCCCACACTCTGGAATTCCACCCCAGTGTCCTTCCAACTCCCTCCTCAACTTGTTCAAGGTCCATTTCAAGACCTACCTCTTTGACTGGAGCTTTTGGTCATCTTTCCCCTCCCCCCACCCCCTTTGCTGTCATCCAAAGCTTGGGTGTCAGGCCAGCACTGTTAAGTACCTTGAGATGTCCTCCCAATGTGAAAGGTGCTATATAAAAGCAAATTTGTATTGTATTTCAGATAGTTGGAAAAATTAGACAATGGCAACAGAATAAGTTATAGTTCAGACTAACCCATCGAAGGGAGCTATTGTCATTGTGTTGGCCCACAGACAAAAGATATAAAATAACCAAGATAATAATAATCTTTACATTTGATACTTCTCCAACATCAAATTGTATCAAAGGCAATTGCTGTGAAAATAGAGACTATGTATTGTAGGCAACCACATTGGTCAGGACATCAGGATAAAACTGTATTTTTGTTTTAAACAATGTGATTAGATATTTAACGTCCACCTGAATGAACAGATGGAATCTTAGTCTAACATTTCATCTGCAGGACAATGACAATGCAATGTTTCCCAATACAGTGTGAACTGTGAGCTCAAAGCCCTGATGTCTTCCGATTGATGCTACCAACTGTAACCTTGCATACAGCTTTGGGTTGGTATTCAATGTAACTACTTGAAATAGCATTAAAGGCATACATCACTGAAAAAGATAACTGAGAAACTGTTAAATCAATAGCTTTGATCCCATCACCAGAACCACCTTTACACTGTGGGTCTTGCAGCGATTTAATTCCTGCTTTCGGGGGCTGACTATAATGAAACAAAGTACCTATCTAACTTGAGCCACCTACCAATTGTTTCTCCCTCCTCCCCCAGTTGTTGCTGTTGTTTTCGGTGACTGAACACTCAACAGGGTCGACTGTCCGGTCTGAACATGTGTATGATCCTTTTGAGTTGATTTTCCCCAATAGTTTTTATCTAACAGTAGTGAAACTGGGAATAAAGCTCGGCAGCAAATCACTCGAGGACTGCTATCCAGTAATTCTTAGGTGCATTGACTTTGATATTGTACAATTAAATGGAGAAATCACATTAGAGGTTGGCATTGGCAAGCTCCCAGCCTCCACTATCATTACTCAGGTAATAATGCTCAAAATAAAGTTTCCCTCATGTAAGAAATAGAAAACCTTGACATTTTAAATGTAAAAGCTGCGGCTACAGCTTGAGCAACACTCAAACGTCAGCGTTGCCAAACTTGAGCTGCTCATAGTATGACCGGCCAACAGATATCAAAGCAGCAGAAATGTTCTTTGGTTTTGGAATGTCAAAGCCTCCATGTTTACATCTGAGCTTCTCTAGAATGAGGGACTTAACTCAGCGCCACAGCCCGATGATCCCTGCACTCTGGAATTCTTTGAAGAGTAATGAAGAGCACTGATTAGATAACAGCTGCAACGCCAATGTTTGGGGACAGCAGTTAGAAGATATTTATAGTACTTGCTCGGAAAGTAAAGGAAACCTCTTGTTAATGTAACTGTTTATTGGACTGACAATAAATCCAAATGTCAGAAGGAAAACTAGCTTCTTACAGACTGAAATCTTATTTCAGAAAAAATTTCCTAAAGTTATTCAACTGTTTTGACCCTCACTTTTAGATGTGATCTGCCAAAACCTGTCTTCATTTGGCAATCACATACTGCAGGGCTTGCTACCACTGGATGCACCTTTTATTGCAGGTCTGTGCCGCTGGCTGTTTACATTTATGCTATTTAACTGAAATTGTTTAACATTACCAATGATTCCCTTTAAAACTGAAATGCAATCCTGCAGCTTTATTGTAGTTCAGTCTCCTGTGGAGTGCGATGTGATTTGGGTCGGTGATTATGATTCCAATTTTTTTTCTTGCCATGAGAGGAGAAAAGTTATTTAGGTGACTTATGTTTCAATTTATTTCCAAAATTACCAGATGTGGCAATGCTATCTTCAGCTCCAGTAACAAAAAGCCACAGTTAGTTCTAATGTTACCATATGTGCTTTATTAGGTGGCCACTGATATTGTCACATCAGGGCACCACCAGACACTGTTCGGCCATATTGCTGTAATCGGTTCAGCACTCGAGCATGATCAAAATTAAGTCAGACCAGCGTGTGGCTTACTCAGCAAAACATTTATATAGCACAATGAAAGCACTGTGGTTACAATGCACACATTCTATATGTATTGAATAAACATAGTCTTTTAGGGATACCCATTTTTAAACTAAATCTAAATGACTGCCATTACCAAAATATATGGTATGTTAAAAATGCAACCTAGCTGAGTTATGCAGTAGCCCTATAGAGCTCTAAATTGACTTAATGTGATCTCCCAGGGTTTACACTTACTGTTAGTTAGCTTCTGTACATTAACGGCTGAGTTTAGACTACTGAATTGACATAATATCAGTCTAAACAGTAAGATGAATGCTATCATATCCTTATTAGGACTCAAACCATAGTCTAAGTTGACACTTCAGTGAGGTGTTGAAGGAGCACTGCACTGCTGGAGATGCTGTCCTAAAGGTAAGACATTAAAGTGAGGTTTAAGACATTAAACTGCCTGTTCAGGTGAAAGCTACAGATCTCATCACACTATTCAAAAAGAGAAGGGAGATTCTGCTGTTTTTCTGGCTATCAATCTCTCAGATACATTGGTCAACTTGTGTCTGTTTGTTGGACATTGCTGTGCACAACGTTGGCTGTTGTATATGTCTACAAATACAGTCACTACACTTTAGTGACTCTGTATTTGCTTTGAGATTTATTTCAACAAATACTGCTGAAATTCTTTGAGATGTTTCATGTTTTAGGTGCTACATGAAATATAAGGATTATTATAATAATACCATTCTGACACGTATCTTTCTCTCTTTGCAACCAAGGTCAATCAAATGTTAACAGCTCTGGGACAGAAACTACTATACTGGTTATACTTAACCATTTAGTCTTAATCAACTGCAACGTTGCTGTACTTCCCTCATCACAACATCCAGCAATGATTTAAACTGACATGTGAGATGAAAAATAGTCCAAAACAAAATTAAGAACATTAATTTTTTAAACAGCTGTAACGGAGAGTGATGATCTGGAATTCTATTAAAAAG